CCCAGCTGATTGTCGCTGTTTCGGGTACGGTTTCCTCGGGTCAGCACGAAAACGGCGAAATCTTTGTAAAAAGCCTGGGAGGGCAGAAGGCTGCTGTGTCCTTCGTCTGCATTTACATATTTTTCTTTGCGTCGACTTGGGGACCCTTGGCCTGGGTAGTCACAGGCGAAATCTTTCCCCTCAAGACGCGCGCTAAGTCACTCAGCATCACCACGGCCACCAACTGGCTACTGAATTGGGCCATCGCTTATTCTACCCCATACCTCGTCAACTATGGGGAAGGTTACGCCAATCTGCAGTCTAAGATCTTCTTCGTATGGTTCGGCGCCTGCTTTATCTGCATCATTTTCGTCTGGCTCATGATCTATGAGACAAAGGGACTCAGTCTGGAAGAAGTGGACCAGCTGTACGAGGAAGTTCGCGACGCCCGCAAGTCTGCTCAATGGAAGCCCACCTCGTCTTGGGACAATGACACCAAAAAGCAAGGTAACGACATTGCCTTGGGAGAAGTGGAGCACACTGCTGCTGAAGGCCTTCCTCAATCTGACAGACGCTAAGCTTCGGTCAAACCTTTTGAATAACGCGGCCGATTCCTTCCGTTGACAAGTCTCTTTCGGCAGCGTGCAATTCTCTTATCGCTCAACTTTCACTGGTATATGGGCCTTGCTTCAATGAAGAAGTGAGATCAGTTTGGTGGGTAACTGTGCTCTGGGTCATTCACCGAACAAGCGCCTTTCCGGAGGCTAGACATAGCCAAGAAAGTCGTAGTCCGGGATGGTTACAGACAAGCTGGGCTCCATGGATTCATCCCCTGGTTGAACTCTAGTGTTCTCCCGGGTACTTCTCAAGTCTCTCTCCAATTGCCATCACGATATTCATTTACCCATTGCTCTCAGTTCTAGTGACGCAAGTATCAATGATATTGGCAAGCACCCGTCTAGGCGTTGAAGAGCAGCATGGCGACCTGAGGACTTTTGCCACTGCAGGTTGCCCCATCCAAGGTTTGAGTTGACGCCAAAGAAGTTAGACCTGTTCGCTTTGACCATCCGCGCATTAGTGCATTAGACAGGAACTGAACTCGTTTGGCACCGCCAATTCGGAGTCAGGCTAATATCGCCAAATCTCAGTCGCGCAGCGATGCCGACATCCAGAGTCAGTAATTTGGTATTGTCGACAAGGCAGCGGACGTGATCCTCGGATTTCCAGTAGTTTGATTGCCCGTCGCGTGTTGATGTGGTGTGAGTGGTTGACTGTGAGGGTCAGAGCTCGGCCGGAATTGCACAATCTAGCCAGTTCTCCCGGGGTATGACCACGTAGTCGACGATCCGTACCACAATCAGCTCAAAACCTATGTCATTTATCGTCGATGTCAATCACGATTTCCTACTCGAATGTCCAATCCAGCAAGCGGGATTGGCTTCAATCAGCATTCGGGAAAGCCAGTGCCCCGAACCTTCTGCTCCGTGACACTTAGCGCCTCGTATGTTTTTGTCGTGTATGTTACCCTGATCTCGGACCAGGAGTCACCTGCAGTTGTCGGCCCTATCCCAACAGGTGATGGGCTATTTATGGAGCCACATTCAAATTCTAGTCCATGAAATCATTCATCACGACTTTCCAGCATTTCAACACGCCTACCCCACACTACCAAGACTACCCAAGCCGCCTGACGCAGGGAAATCTGGGGCTCTTAGCCCCTGACATGACTAGTTCCCGACTGCGTGACGTAGAAGGGCAATACGAGGGACGATTCCTTCCAGACAAGGTCCGAAGCTTCTCGTATTGTGCCTCTGAGCCCCACTAGTCTACCGTCGATCGGGGTCGGCTCGCCAGTGCCGGCATTACGAGAAGATCATCGTAGAGCCCACAAGACAACACATTCCGCCACTCCGGCGTGCACGCCTCTGAAGTATATAGAGAGGGATTTTGCAACATGTCTACACTGCCGGCCAATCTATCTGTCTCATACCTTATCCTCTGGAGTTCGTTTCAATCCGACCGAAATTCACCAAAGATAACATTTTGCAACCATGCACTTCCACAACCTTGCTGCCGCCTTCTTCGCTGCTGCCGCCTCGGCTGCGGCACTCCCGGCTTCATCCGGGCCCCTTCCTGCCGGCGCCAAGTTCAATCTGCTCGCCCTCCGGTCCGCCAGCCCCGTTCATTTCGCAGATGTCAGCGCTGCGCAGGGTAGCCTTTTCCTCAATCTTTCCAGCCAGAACGCCACTTGCGACGGCTCCTGCGGCAAAAGTGGTGGTAGCGCCACATTTTACTTGAATGATGACGGCGGTCTCTACCTCTATAGTACTTCGGCTACGCCTCAGCAGTTGTATGCTGATCGCTCAGGCATGGGTATGTGATGCCGTGCCCCTCTCCAACACACAGACGTGCTGACCATGATACAGGTCAGGGCAAGCTTGGCTACACCACTGGCGCCCAGCCTCCCCCCCGAAACGGCGAACGTACTGGATGGGTTCTTGATGAGGTTGGCGACCTCACTCTCAACGGCGCCGCTTTCATCGCCTGTCCTAACAGCATCGACGGAGCATGGAGTCTCTGGGTGTCGGCTGGTGTCAATCAGCCAGGCGGTAACGAGGGTTGCCTCGGCATTTCGGCCCGTGCCACTGAGGTTAAGAACCCCGACAGCTGCATGTACACTTCTTGAGAGTGAGGGTGGTACATACATAAAGAGAAGAGAGTTGTAAATAGCAAGATGTAATGTAATTGTTGACAGCACCCAATGGCCCTTTATTCATGAAACTATAGAGCCTGGAGAACAAGCATACGAGCCTGCACGCCCGCGCCCCTTCGGTAGTCCTCGAGATTAGCGCTCACAAAGGCTACCTTGCCGGCGGTGACCAGTTCCTTGACACGTCTCTCATAACCACCATTCTCCCAAATCGAGAAGAGAATGGTAGCAACAAGATAACCGTCCTTCTTAAGTACCCTCACAAATTCATCAATGGCAGCAGGGCCGACGTGACCCTCTGTCATTGTTCCTACGCACACGACCACGTCGTACGATGCATTGGCTCGTGCCAGAGGTTGTGACAGATCGACTGCCTCCAGTGCACGATATACTCTGAGCTTCTGGGCTACCTTAAGCATACCGGGACTCAGGTCGACACCATCGATGTGCTTGGCGCCCACCTTGGCAAGCTCCACGCCAACGAGACCTGTGCCGCAGCCAGCGTCAAGAATCTCAATGTGATCACCCAGTCGCTTGACATTCAAGCTCTTCAACACATGCGAGGTCGCAACAGCGGGCGCCACGTAATCATGCTGGGCCTCGGCGAGCTCCTTATCGTACGATGTGGCCCAGTCGTCATAGATGGCCTTCATCTCATCAACATTCGAGGCACCGTAGCTGCGCCCAATCTGCGACATGGCGGGGAGAATGGCTCAATTGATTTTCAACGATATGAATTCTTCAGATGTCAGTAAAGTAGGTTCAAGATCAATCGCACGTATCGCGTTTTTGGGGTAGGCTAACAAAATGAGACTCCTTCACAGTCAAACGAGTCGAGCTCTCGTGTGTTGATGAAGGAAGCTAGACACAAACGTTTCCTTAGGGTGTTGTTTGTATGAAAGGTGCTCTCGAAGCTGTTAGGAAGATCATCGGGCGGATGGGAATGCCTATTTGTACAAATTTGAGCGGACTCTTGAGCTTTAGCCCAGGTCAGGACATCGCATCCTCTATAGTGTATGTCGGCGGATCTGAGTACGTTGGTGCCCTCTTTTGATGTCACATCACACGTCATGGCGGCGCGTAGTGCAACAGTGCCAATCCTCACAAGTCGCTCAGGGATGAATATACCCTGTTATCTCGCCTCAGCCGTGTCGCTCCTATGGCCACCCTCCATGATGGTCGCTGAAAGCTCACGTCACTCTCTCGCGCTGGAGTTTAGCCCGTTGCGCGATATACCTACATCGTTGCATGAGCTACTGGCCAACTACATACGAAGTGCCTCGCCCCTCAGCAGCTGCATACGCTATGCAAAGCTAACGAGTACGATGCGGCTCAGAAGGGGGTTGATTGGCACACGAACTGGTCGAGGGGGCGGAGGTAGCTGCCTAGGGCACTCCGCGGATGTATTGCGTCTTGTGGGCCCAATCATCACCGACCGGACGCCCGTCCGCTTGCCGGCCCATGGCTTGGGTGCTCCACAAAGCCGAGGCGCCGTGAGCCCGAGTTGACCGCGCACTTGAGGTATGCCGAGCACTTCATTGGTGAGAATCGTCTTGCAGCAAGGACCTGAACTTGTTTCCCTGCCAAAGGATCCGCACGCGCAGGGGACCTCGCCTCCTGCTCAGCGCATCATATACATAGTTGTCACCTCTTTAGCGGGGTATGCGGCCTGGCCTTGTTCAGGAGAGTGACATCCAACTAAAGTTGTTCGAGGTAGTTGCGGTCCAAGAGCGTACGGTGTGGCACCTTTGCTACAAGGAGCAGATTTCCCTTCCTACGGTCTTTTGATAGTCCCATCGTTTCTCGAGGCCCCAACCCCGCCAAACGCCAAGCCAAACGCCCCGCCCCCGCCTCTACCTAGGCAAGAAATGCCCAGGGACGAAAGAGTGTGGAGGGGTAAGGCCGAAGAACTGAGGGGTTTGATTTTGTCGATCTTATCTAGTTCTACTTCGTGGCAGCCTGGTCGACAGAGGTGCCTGCGGAACTGAAGGCACCAAACCCTGCACGCCGAGGAGACATTCAGTCATCATAACCAATGGCAACGAAAGATGGCGCAAGAAGTCGAAAAGCTGTGGACACCTGTGGCTCGCTATGAATCGATCACTGGTAGAAATGTATCATATCTACCAGATGGGCGTGGGAGGCCAATCATCGACGACGAAGCAGAGTAGTGATGCTGTTGAGGTCACATGCGATCCGTCGATGACCGAACGATGGAAACTTTGTCACTTTGATTGTTCTTTAGCAAGCTCCCAATCCTCTACGCGAAACAGCTTATAGGGCACGTGATGAATAAACCTGGTTAACCGCCTTAGGGCTTGACTTGAGATAGCTTGATATGGAGGGCCTCCAATCTGCGGAGAGCCCAAAATCAGATTGATTCCTTGCCCCCCTACCCATTAATGGGGATTACGTGGTCCTCCTGGTTAATACCTCAAGACAGAGGAACCGGGTGGATCATCCTTCTTTTGTTTGTGGTGGGGGAATAACCATAATAGAGGAGTCATCTTTAGACGATGTCCGCTGTTGAAGGCTACCGCGTGCCGCCGAGGACTATAATAATAGTGATTGCGAAATTTATGATGGATGAGTATCAAAATTGAAAGATCTTGGTTTGATTCTGTCCTGCTGTTGAAGGCTCACATGGACACCTTAGGATAACGAGTTGCGGAAACACACGAGAAAATAGACAAGCGTACGAAGTGATTTCAATCTCAATTCTTGGAATAGGTAGGTTCCACTCAGAGGCATTGCGCATACCACGGGTTAAGTGTTGAGCATGTATAAGGGACGACACAAGCGGTCGGGCCAGTGTGACCACTTCCACCACATTGTTGCCACTGACCTGCTCCGGCTACTGGAGGCGGAGGCGCGGCTGTCGTGACGGGTGTGGGAGCTGGCTTGGACGTTGTTGACGAAGTTCGGAGAGTAGTCGGAGCAGTTACAGGCGTGGTTGACCTTGTCGATGCAACCGAAGAGGTTGACGATCGTAACGAACTGACAGGGCTGACGGGGGGCTCAGGACCTTTGACACCATGTTAGGGAAACTCGCAGGCAACATCTGACCCTGACTACTCACTAGAGGATCCGGGGCCGGCGACAGATGTCGTGATTGTTCCGTCTTCGATGTAGACACCTGAAAAGTAAATATCTTCAGGCGCGTCCGGATAACCACTGCGCGGGAGCTCAAGAACACCGAGGTGCCAATCAGCGCCGTTGCTCGATGTTGAAGCCGCAATGGGCGCATTGACTCTGGTCAAAGGGCTGGCGCCAGTTGAGTGCCAGAAGCCGACAGTGCCAGCACTGAAATCAATTTCATAGGCGACGTTGTGCCAAACATCGGCATCCCAGTTGACGCTCCAGTGGGTCTGTCCACCAACGCACCATCTCAAAAGCGGGTCGGATGTTCCAGCGGCGCCGCTGAGCCAGCCTGATTTGAGTTCGGTGAAGTGGCTTTCAAAGAAGGCTATTTGGTGTTCCCGAGTCGTCGCTGGCGGATTGACGTCACTGCGTTTGATGCTGAAGTGGTAAAACACTTTCCCTTTGTTGATGGCTGCGCTCGTTTGGGGGATCAATTCGGTGCGCCGCATGTTCTGGCCATTCCAGTACGCCGTGTCGGTGAGCGAGATCTTGACACCCTGTTTGGACCCAGAGTCGGCTGGGTTCTTGTAACTTGGCGACAAGTTTACATACTCAGTAACAGGTCCGCTCCCATGAATGTAGTACTGGTAAGGGCCGACCTGCGTCGCCCAGCTCCATTTATCGAGATCAGTGGATGACGTCAGGTCATTGAAACGGCCGTCCCAAAGAACTGCGGAATGGCACTGCGAGACCAGCGAGAAAGCGGCGCTTGCGGTGGCGAGGAACTTCATCATGGAGGGATAGGTCGTCGTGCTTCTGGCAGTCACGTAATACTGGCTATCATTGCTACCTTTAAGAACCCGAACGCTACGGTCGATGAAACGGGCCAAGGAGCCGAAGCCTCCGTTTGCAAAGTGCCCGGCAATCCGGCAATGCCGTCGATAGGGCCCGGGCCGCAGCACATTCAGCCGGCAAATTGAAGGATGGCAGAGGTGCGACACTGGTGACGAGTCAGCCATCATCAATTCAGAAGCATGCCATTCTACCAGATTGCGGATCACACTACGTGGCGGGGCAACGTCGCGAATTAATTGATTAACTGCACGAGCAGATATTGTCTCGCCGTTTGACACCTATTGAGTGCTGGTTTAATCCGCACACGGAGAAAACACAAGCCATGCCTCCGTAAAGTGTTCATAAGACGATCACTTCCGTTTGCTGTCTTTGGCCCGGTTGTATGGTGATCTTCCATCGTGCTAATCGTCCTGTGACTGCACAAAATGAAGAGTCACTTAGTCGGCGTCTGTCAGAGATGTACAATTGCACCATTTATCGTAGCTTCGTTCCTCATTGCAAGTTATCTCCCGCCGCTCTTCAGGTCAACTGGATTCAAGAATCCAAATTATGTCCACATCGATTTGACCCATAAGCAACATTGGCTTGTGGAAGAAGCCTGGTCTTTTCTGAGTTATCTTAGACGTGAACACTCGGTTAGGACCAGAAGTAAATTTCCAAAACGCCAGGGCCTAGACTGGCTTTCAACAATTTCGTAATTTTTATAAAAATGCATTAAAACCCAAAACTATGTAGTACCAATGGTGTCAAACAACGACAGGGAAGCGTCTTCGCATATGCCAGTTCAAGGCATTTGCACGAAATTGAAACTTCCCCCTTCGTCAGTAATTGCAGCTCATTGGAAAATCGAAGGTAGGTGATGCTGCCAAGGTCAAAGCAAAGCTCTCAATTTCTCACGTGTAAACTTGTAGGGTGGTTCTGAATGCGTTCATTGAGGAGCCACGGAGGAAGGGAGTTCATTCGTATATGTAGTATATGACTAGGTTCCGGGCTGTGGCTAGCAGGGCGGCTTCAAAAAGCTCTCATGGCATGCTGAAGACACGCAAAGTACAGATCTGCGCAGCTATAACCCTTCAGCGCCATTTACGGCCGCCACCCCCACCATGGTGACAACTTCCTTGCCTAGTTGTCAAGCATCTTGCCACCAATAGAAAGGCGGCCAAGTAGAAAGCTGGCGAGTATAGGGTCGCTGTTCTTGTGCAGTATCTGCCGTGTTAGTAGCTGTCCGACAAAAGCAGGATTCGTGACACCGGAGTGCATCACGGCAACGGTAAAACCATCAAGATCAGTTGATCCAAATCTGATATCGATCCTCAGGATCAGGCCAGACGCCAATGGTGAAATTGCCGAATTCGGGATCATCTCCATTCTTGAAGCTAGGTTTGAGCGTGGCGAACAGCTCGTCTGCCATTTTTTCAGGATCCTCACCCACATTGCCAGCTGAGAAGTCGCCACTGGCCCGGATACTTCCATCCTTCATCTGATGCATGTGGAGCTTGCCGCCATCGCAGTGCGTCTGCAGCAGCTTCCGGGTCGTGGGATGAGTGTTGATAAGTAAGTCCGGTCGACCGTTGAGAGAAAGCTTGATGTTCTCTGCGGCGGGTAAGGGCACACTGCCAAGACCATCGGCGAGTACCATGTGCTGGGCACGGATCTTTCCTCCCGCCAATGCCCGAACCCCGGTATCGCGACCACTCTATTTGAGGAAACCCAAAACAGTGGTCTCGAACACTTATGCCCCAAATGACCATGGTCTGATCAATCAGCTGGGCGGCGGCGGCGTCAGCCTCGATTGCTCCTTCTTCCCTTGTGAGGAGACCCCATGCTGGCACTGTAGCCTCCTCGAGATTGGTTCGATCTTGTTTATGTCACTATCCTTGACTCAGGTAATCATAACCCCACGCCGAATGCTTCCGCTGGTATTGTGCAAGGTCTTCGGCGGCATATGCCATTGGAGGTTTTCGCACCATGAGAGTGGCAGGTCAGGCAGGTCTTTGCGAATCTCCTTCCATCGCTTCACGGAGCAACGGCGTAAATCATGATGGAATTTTGGATTCTCGAATGCAGCATTAATCCATGAAAATGAATTGGGTATTGCAGCCCCCCATGCTCTCGTCCATGATTGTGACATTGGTCTCTCGGGCAAGAGGCCGCCACGGACCACAGCGATGTTGGAGCTGAATTCGTCGTCCACGGTAAAGTATAGGTGCGGACCTAGTACGAAGCGTTTGCTGAATGTTTTGCAAGCCAGCGAAGTGAGCTGCTGTAGGCTCACTGCCTCATCTAGGTTTTGAAGGACGGCTCTTCAGAACGATGCAAATCTGTTAGGGCCGGAAAGTAAGTCTCGCGATTCAGCCATGGATAGTCGTGTGGTTTGTGTGATCGAGATTTCCCCGCTCCTGTGGGTCAGTTGGTGATCATGGTTCCCCGTCATCGTTGGATGATCTCATTCAGACGTCAAGCGCTGTGCGGAATCACTGCTTGGCTTTCCCCATATCAATCATCATGAGGGCGAGGAGTTTTGCGGCGTTGAATGGCCCACAGGATTGGAAATGTGAGGCCGGCCGCTGGTGGATTCGGTTCAAACTGCCACTTCGTAAACTGGAATCACCAGTTGAAGTACCGGTAAATCCTCCTTACTCCAAGACGGGCCGACCCCGCGTTGTTCGAGGATCTTCAATCTCCCATCCCGCGTCGTGGCGCCGACTCACCTGAGCACCTGGCAGGGGCCTGCAAGCTGCATCCTGCACTACAATCCAATGGAGTCCCACCCCCTGATGATCAAAAGCCAGCCAGCTCTACCACATGCAAATCCTTCACCAGGCACCATGCTCCTGATCACGGCTGTATAGACCTGGCGATGCTACTTCACTCAGAGCTAGGTCTTTCTTCAGGAGCCGAGACCAATCTGAGCCTGCGTTGACGCCAAGGATTACATTCCTTCGAAGACGATTCGACTCCCCCCGACCGCCATGCTTCAAAATTCCGGCCACAGATGCCCATTTGGGACGCTGTTGTCGACCACGACCAGTCTGCCTTGAGAAATCGGACAACAGTTCGTCCGAAACACTGCCCAGCCCCTCATCAACCACTGCAGCAGGCCATGCATCGTGAGGGCTATGTGGAAGCAAAATTACTACATAAGACGGTGACTCGGTTCTGGTGAGGCACCAAGTAATGCACCTACCCGTTGCGAGGTAGACACACAACGATGGCTCACGCTATTTTCTCCCCAGGCCTTTGGCAGCCGGCTTTGCACAGGGTCGTATTGCTCCTGGTTTTGTATCTCGCCCTTGTCCATCCATCGAACTCTTCTGTTATCCAGAGGCGTGCTGCACCTCCCCAAAAGCTGCCGAAAAGGGCGACAGAAAACGACCTACGTTACCAGCCGGCCTTGGGCAAGTGCAGTTGAGATTGCTAATTTCGCAATTTTCTGACCTGCTTAGACTTTGATACCGATTCCTGCTACAACGTACCCGCCATTGGCTGTGATGGAAAGATTTCAGAGGGACTTGAACCCGATGGCACTACGAAAGACTGTCGTGACCTCGCCGACCTTGATAACACCAATGTCTAGTAAGCTACTCAAAGCCATATTGATGTGCAACCACTCTAACTACTCGCTTAGTTCTCGTCAGCGATGCAACAGCGGCTGGTGTGCCTACATGTACGATTACTACTTCGAAAAGGACCACGCTGATATCGGTGCACACAAACACGACTGGGAGCACATCATAGTTTGGGTTCCTGACGACCGAGCCAACAATAAGAAGTATGCGTGTGTGTCTCAGCATGGTGAATGGCTATGCAACCCAGAGGATAAAGTGCTCTGGAAGGACGAACACCCAAAGGTAAAGAATTATGGCCTGACAACCCAACGTATACGTTACTTACCATCCTTGATCTAGATTGTTTACCACAAGGATTGGTTCCAGACTCGTGCCTTCCGCTTTGCCAATGCGGAAGATGATAAATACCAGGAGAATGAGCGCCATGACTGGCAACTTGGCGATCTGGTTGGTTGGTTTGGATTTCCGACAACAGAGCTTCGGTCGGCCCTGGAAACCCATCATTTTGGCAGTGCGAGCTTTGCTCTTGGTGGTAGTTTCACGACCAACCTCAAGAATTCCTTGACTGCTTGGTGTGACGACAAATTCCCTCCTGACGGCGGAGACCTCGCAGTCTGTAAAATGCAGCATTTCCCTCATCCTTTCGATCCTGCGAGAGACGACAACGGCTCTCCGGGCCAGCCGCCAGGAGGTAACGGTAACGGGTGCAACCCAACAAATCCTGGTACGCCTGGGCCTGCAGTTGGCGTCATCAATGCCATGATTGTAGGAGACTCAATTACTCAAGGGTTTGAGGGCGACTATACCTGGAGGTTCCGCCTCGCGGAGTGGTTCAAGTCGGAGAGCATTACCCCGAACTTTGTTGGTCCTTGGACCGGAACACATACCAACGCCGAGCCGAGCGACCCGAAACCTCCCCGTCTGATCGGATCTGGGGTATGTCTATCACCTCGGTATCTCGGTGGCAGCTTGCTAACGAAAGCCACAGCCAGTACCGCCAGACGCGCCCCGAACAGGCGGAGCATATGCCAACGGTGTCTCCTTTAAAAGCAATCATTGGGCTTTGTGGGGCCGCCAAGCTGCTCAGGTCAAGAACGAGATTCGCGGCCAGGTCTCAACACATTCGCCAGATTGGTTGCTTGTCATGCTTGGATTCAACGATCTTGGCTGGTGGGTGAGTGGGCCTGACGGCACCTTAGCCAGCATGAAGGCCATCGTTGATGAAGCGCGTGCCGCAAAGTCCAACGTCCGCATCCTGATTGCTAACGTCATCCATCGAACCTTCATCGAGGGCCGTGACGATCTTGTAACCAACACGAATATCTACAACGATATGCTGAAGAATGCGATTCCGGGCTGGAGCACATCATCCTCTCCTATCAAGCTCGTCGACGTAAACTCTGTATATAGCTGTGCTCCACTTGGCGACTGCTCAGCTGCCTACGATGGACTGCATCCGGGGCCCAAGGGAGAATACCAGATCGCTCACGCCTTCAGCAAGACTCTTGTTGCGATGGGTGCGGGTAAATCAGAATTATCCGTTCCAGGCAGCTTCCCGGCATCCAAGGCCCCCACGGTTCCTAACAATGTTCGAGTATCACAGGCTCCGTGGGGTCTAAAAGTCACCTGGGACAAAGTGTGGGGTGCGAATGCGTATGAGGTCCGCTCGCGTCAGAAGGGAATGAGCCAGTGGTCATACTGGCCGTCCGGTATCGCCTGGCCCGTGAACCGTTGGGACAACAGCTGGGTCCTTGAAGGACAAGAATGGGAATACTCGGTACGGACGAATACGGGAACTGGCCGGACGTCTGAATGGTCAGGCACCGCTACTGCTGTTGCAAAACCAACGAATCCGAAGGGACCCAACAATGTCTGGGTTGAACCTCGAGGAAACTCCATATTTTTGCGATGGGACGCTGTGCCTGGGGCCATCTCTTACGAGGTTATCACCTTTGATAACGATGCGACAGGGACGACATTCCCCAACGGCCGCGGTGTCCAAGGGACCAGCGTTACCGTCAGCGATGGGTTGACAGCCGGTCACAGAAATGCTATTGCCATTGTCACATGGGTATCCTCCGGCCCTGGATGGCCCACTATTGGCATGTCGGTGCGTGTCGGTGCAGGCCAGCCTGGGACGATTCAAGGTCTTCGTGTCAGCAACACTGACCCAACTACGGTTCTCCTCAGCTGGCCTCACACCACAAACTTTGCCAGCTATCGTGTGTGGTTCCGCAATCACAAGACGAACGAGGCCTTTCGGACAGATGAGTACTCCATTGCCACGGATAACTCGCATACCGTTGCCTTTTTGTTCCCCGGCACGTGGAATTATGAGTTCTATGTCGTGGCCATGAATGGAAATATTGAGGGCGGTCGTTCAAATACCGTTATACCACCGGTCTATCCGGGCTTCCAGGGATAGGGAGGGTCAGTGATGGTGACTCTATAGCTCGCGATGCGCTGAACTCGGAATTACGAGAGAGCCCAAGAACGACGTTCGTTGGACGAATGTCAACCTTTCACGAGCCCCTCATCCAATCTCAACACAAGCCAAAGTCTGTGTTAGTCACATATCTACCATTCTGGAAAGACCATGAAAAGTGGTTTACGTTCGTCGAAAACAGCCCGTGGTTTGTTTCCGGAAACTCGAACCACTCTCGTTGTGGATCGCTCCTGCCGTTTCTGCCAGATAATCTTCGATGCTTGCACGTGACTGTAATGTTAGCCACGTGGGTCAGATGTACCGATGCCTATAACTTTGCTGCTTGAAGGCCGAAACCAAGGACTTGATGATTGCTATCAGTCGGCACTAGAAGTATAGAAGCACTGGCCAGTGAAGGCCTTGGGACACAGTAAGCATGTGCTTATGAGCCTATCGGTGCTCATACGACGATGGTATCTGTGATCGGCGCTACAATGTGAAGAAACGTCCTAAACACCCAAAAAAAAAGAAGCTATGGCTAAGCGAGTAGGTGGCATCTTCTGGGGCTATACTCTAAAGACACGGAATCAATCGAGCTCTACTCGTCACGCCAACCATAATATTAAGTCCAACGATCTGATGATCTTGCTAAAAGAACAAGAGAGCCTCTATCAGCACGTCAATTGTACTACATCGTGGAAGGGCTTTTGAGGAGCACCCTAGTGTTACGGTCGGTCCCAAAGGGGTTAGTGACAGCCCTCACACAGTCGTAAGTGCCTTACGGCATCTCTTCAATTGAGGTAAAAGGATAGCCGTTGATGCAACATCGTTCATTGAAATTGGCTGTATTTATAGATGTATGGGCCCCAGACATATATAGCGTTAGCGGGTCCAGACCGTGACACAAGGTGTCACTAAGGTGCTTCAGTCAAATACTCAGCGTTCATTTCCAGGACGGGACTATTGGAATTCGCAATCAATCCGGAATGGGAAGATGTATGAAGAAGCTGGCTTGACGGCTTCTGACGAGTGCCGTCGACACTTTTGCGCCCAGGACCAGGCGGCGGGACGTGCGTATCATAGATTATAGATCTGACTTTGAACAATTGCTCAGTGAGGCTCCAAAGCCGTAAATGACGGGTGGTGGCACTTCAGTCGGATGCCACGGAGTAGACGCCGAGGCACATGAGCCGGTCTCTCATAGCTTCGCTGGTTGAATGGCTAAGAAGGACCGGCAGAGTTTTAACTGAACCTGCCCGTTGAAGAATGAAGATCCAGGAAGAGTGTCGAGAATACTATGCAGGCATGGTGAAGAGCATTTGTCCCAACTTCCCTACGAATACCAACTTTTAGTCACGTCTGGCTTGAGAACCGGTAGGTTCGGTCGCCTTGAACCCCAGAGCAAAAGGCCTATCTCCGCTATCGGCTTTGCAGCGTCATGCTGCCAAGTTGTCTTTTAAAAAGGTGAGGGGTTGCGGAGAAATATCCGTGAAGAGTCATGTAATCCGTCTAAGATCTGCAACTGATGGGGTAGAGATGTACGTCAGTGGTGGGGTTAGTCGGCACTTGGGATCGTGGGGTTCATGAGTTTGCCAGGTTTTTATTGGCTAAATGGAACCTAATTAAAATGATGTGACCATGTATCGGACCACCGAGGAGTGAGAATATCTATAAAGCACACCCCAGCATAATCGCCTATGTCCCCTTGATAGCATGTTTGTATCCAATACGGCCCAACCTAGACGCAAGTATGAGGATTCGGCTCGCCATCTCTGTCAGCTTGGCGGGAGTCATATCACCGTGTGAAGCTGGAAGAGAAAGGGACTATACTTCACACGTCAATCCTTTCCTCGGCACTGAAGGCCCAACACCTGGCTCCGCGTATCAAGGCGGCAATGTCTTCCCCGGAGCGACTCTACCGTTCGGCGCCGTCAAGGTCGGAATCGACACAACTCGATGGGATACAAATTACCAAGCCAACGCGGGATACACCCCTGAGGGCAACGTTACAGGCATTTCCATGCTGCATGTTAGTGGCACAGGTGGTGCGCCAACGTACGGCTTGATCCCACAGATGCCGCTCGCCAGTCTTGAGGGTGTGAATTTACTGGACAACTTAACGTACATGCAGTCTATAACGGAGCACGATACGGCGACAGTGGGGTATTACAAGACCAGTCTTCGGAACGGCGTCGTGGCAGAGATGAGTGCAAGCATGCATAGCGGCATCATGAAATACTCGTTCCCAAGCAATGGTGACCGGCACATTGTTGTCGATCTCAGCCACTACCTACCCACTCGTGGGAAAGAATCTCAATGGTACAGCAACGGAAGAATTGAGCACAGTGACGACGGAAGCTGGTACACCGGTTACGGTGTGTACAGAGAAGGTTGGGCCCTCGGTGGAGACTTCAAAGTCTACTTCTGCGGACATTTTGATACAGCCCCCACCAACGCTGTGCTCTTCTCTGGGATGTACACCGATCCATACTGGCCAAATACGACCGACGTCCAACCTTCATTTGCCAACGACAGCAACGCCATCTGGGGCGGGACCGATGGCTACCAGTATGCAGACCGGGTCGGTGCTCTCTTTACCTTTCCAACGAACAGTTCCACAGTCACTTCCAAGGTGGGCATCTCCTGGATCTCATCAGACAAGGCCTGCCAGTTTCTGAATGCCGAGATTCCTCATTGGGACCTTCAGGTCACGGTCGCTGAGGCCAGAGATCATTGGAACAACGAAGTGCTTTCCAAGATTGACGCAGACACTCAAAACCAGACGCTATTGGAAATGTTTTACACTGGGATTTATCATGCACATCTCATGCCGTCAGATCGCACAGGGGAGAATCCCAACTGGGTTTCGGACGAGCCATACTATGATGACTATTACACTCTGTGGGATACCTTCCGATGTACCCATGCCTTAATCTCCCTCATCCTTCCCAAACGCCAAGTCGATATGAGTAAGTGCCGCCTGTAGCCGTTACCAGTCATTATGCTCACGCACGCAACCCAGTCAGGTCCATGATCGACATCTGGCGTCACGAAAGATTCATGCCCGAGGGCCGTAGCCATAATCATAATGGCCGTGTTCAGGGCGGCTCCAACTCAGACAACATTCTCGCTGATGCGTACGTCAAAAACCTGGACGTCCACCAACTTATCAACTGGACGGATGGATACGCTGCCATGCGCACCAACGCCGAATTGCAGCCTTACAACAACTTTGACTTCAACGACCCCACGGGCAGTACAAAAGAAGGACGAGGTGCTCTGGATGACTGGAAAAAGTATGGATATGTATCGGTCAACTACGGGAGAAGCGTGAGTAAGACTGTTGAGTACTCGCTCAATGACTTCGCGGTCTCGCAAGTGGCGCTGGGCGAGGCCCCGGAGGAGGCCACGACATACTTGAGCCGTTCCGCGTGAGTATGATACTCAGAAACTTACGAACAGAACATGTGAGCTGATAAATCTAGTGGCTGGCAAAAGATTTGGAACTCTGAGGCAGAAGCGCATAATCATACTGGCTTTCTCGCACCGCTGCAACCTAACGGTACAGTCCTCGAACCATATGATCCACTAGCATGCGGCGAATGTAATTGGCAAGCGATTTCTTATGAAGGTACTCCGTGGGAGTATAGCTTTGGCGCACCTCACGACATGACCACCTTGATCTCCCTCATGGGTGGTCCCGAATCATTCGAAGACCGACTGGATACAAGTTTCGTTCCCAGCCTCGGAGCACAAGATCAAGGCAATAATGGAATTGGTTCCATGATATACAACCCAGGCAATGAACCTAGCTTCATGACACCGTTTCTGTACAACTACATCCAAGAGAAACAGTGGAAGAGCGTCATGAGAAGTCGGGCCATCGTTGATGAGTTTTACCATGCTGGATCGAGCGGAATTCCTGGCAACGATGACGCTGGAAGCATGAGTAGCTGGCTCGTCTGGAACTTGCTCGGACTTTATCCTGTCGTAACACAACCTGTGTATTTGATTCTTGCACCAAGATTTGCATCTTACAGCATGAAGGTTGGCGTAAATGGAACGCTACGGGTCACGGCCAAGGGTATTGACGATGGTCCCTACATACAAAGCCTCAAAGTGAATGGCAAAGAATGGGACAAGAGTTGGGTGAGCCATGAGGATCTCCTTGGCGGACACCAGAGGGGAGGCTTACTGGAGTTTGTTCTGGGCGAAACGCCTGTCTTGTGGGACTCTGGAATGGTGCCCCCGAGTCCAGGCACCCTGAGCACATAACTAGATGCGGAAAAATACTATCTTACAGTTCAATTCCAGTTCTTAATATGCCTACATCTCAATGTCGACCCATCAGGCCGACCTCTGAAGTCGGGGGATGCTTTGCTGTATTTACTGGCTCTGGACTTGATATGTCGCCTAATTGATCAGTTGGCCCAGCAAGTAGATGCAAATAGAAATACCAAGCCCCCTAATTACATCATTCCTGGTTTCCTTGCATTAGTAAATTTCTGAGGATGATTATCAGTCGGCGTGGGCCTGGCTCTAGTCAAATCCAGAGTCAAGGAATTGGCTCTTTCGTCCCATTGACTCCACCGTAGAAGCAACTGCTCTTGGAACGAACTCGAATCACGATGATATCCCAAAGCTCATCTCAACCCACATCGATATGGGGGCCTCGCTACTGCAGAGATCGTCATTGGAATGATAGTCCCCCTTTGTAATCAGAGGCCTTCGTCCCAACGAATATTCAGCCACGCCGCTCAGTCGGCTCACACATGCCTCTAATCACTTGGGCTCCAGCCATAACTTGAAGCCAATCATTGGACACACTTCAGAATTGCGCCCAGCGGCAGAAATAGAAGCCAGTGTTCAATAATTGCACGCTCTCAAACCGTCTCTCACCGTTAACCGTCTCTCACCGTTAACCGTCTCTCACCGTTGAAATATGTGTGCCACGAGACAACGAGTAAGATTACGGGTGATGTTACCGAGTGGCCAAAAGA